AATATGACCAAGTAATCTTACAGCCTGGACCTGTCAGAGGATAAATATGAGCCTGCATATCTACATTGCCATCAGATTTCTTAGCATCCAAAAGTTTAACTCTTAATTTTACTGCTGCATTGAATATAATAGGTTTGAGGGAATGGCTTTTGTAGATTTCTAGAAGTGAAATAGGCAATATATGCCCTTATTTATGTGCTTTAAAGCAGCTTAAGCCAGTTAACTTGTCTATTCTACATAAAATGATAGCATAAAACAACCCTCAACATCAATTAACAGGCGCTTTGAACCGGGCCACGTTCCAGGTTATCATGAAAACCAAAATACTCTTAATCTAATGATAATTTCATTCTCATTATATCCTGATCCAAAGCCGGTTATGTGGCCCCATGCACTTTCCTTCCAGGGAGATTTGTCCAGTTCACACCAATTTCTCGTTAAGTTACTTGCCTTAAAATTGTGATGCCAAAATATGGGCACATTTCGATTAATGCTCTCATTAGTAGATGAAATATAGTCGCATGATCTTGTTAAAGCATTAAGGCTTGGAGCTTTCATGAGTCCATTTAAGTTAATGTAAGTATATCTTGTTTTTTAAATGCATTATCCTAGTATGGTATTAATGGATTTAATAGCAAGAACATATTTGCCCATTAAACATATCAATAAACATAAACAAAGTCGAGAAAAGTCCGTCTGCCTATCCCTTAATTCACTTTTGCAATGGGTGTATAAATGAGCGTCCACCTGCTTGCCCCTTGATCTGAAGTTCCGTGTCCAAATCCCGTCAGAGGAGCGAATGGAGCATAGCAGAGGCTCAAACGACCACAAACCCTGGTTAACAGTACACAAACTTCGTAATCCATTTCAAAAGTGCTTTTCACTGCATTGTGGTGAGGCCAAAATCAAAATGTACGTATATCACATAAACAAGGGTGTCCACTCTAAAGCAGGCTACATTTTATTTTCTATTTTTTATGCAATTATGATACGAACATATATTTATGTCTTGTATATAAACTTTTATCACATTAGTTTCGTATTTGAGTAGAGTTTCGAGACTACCAGTAAATCAGAAATATGAGAGGTATTCACCCTATTTCGTTTAAGGTGATGAAGGACTGGTAGTATAATTTTCCCACAATGATATGAGTAGAGCTGACGCTTCCATTAAATTTCCCAAAAGTTGTTCTCATCCAGGGTGGTCTGCAGCTTCGACCTCGCATCGGTCTTATCAACACCCAGCCGGAGTCGAACCGTGACAGTGCAGAATGGGAGCTGGACATGTTAGCCACTCGACCACATTGCCACGAGTGCCCTTGAGTCACAGGGCAGATGTGAATTTCAAGGAAGGTCAGGCCTTTTGCCATATCATATTCTTTGATGGGATTTTCGATGAAAAAAATGTATATTTGCTATAACAATCGACTACGGTTCGACTCCCGCTGGGGGTCGAAACAGCAGTCCACCCTGGATGAGAAAAACTTTTGGGACAGCAAGGAAATGTGAAATTCAATGGAAAAGTCAGCTCTACTCATATCATCGTGGGGAAATTATATTACCAGTCCTCCATCCCCTTAAACGAAATAGGATGAATACCTCTCATACGATTGATCACCTTAGTTCGGATAATGCGATCTAAGGGATAAAATAAAAAATTTCCTACATTAAAATTAGTAAGCCTTGTCGTAAAAAAGGCTTTTGTATCCAAGTTTGACTACAGTTTCGACCTCACCAAGATGTTATCAGAACTCGCAAAGAGAATCAAGACCTGATCGTACACTTCGTAGTGATACACTACCCCTCAGCTACACGGCCCGTGGGACCAGAGGACAGATATGAATTTCAATGCAAGTCAGACCTCTCTCAACTCGAAGGTATGGAAATAGTTTCAAGGTAAAAAAACCTGGAATTTGCCATTACATATTTTCTGCATGACTATGTCTCGAGGCTACCATTAATTCTGAAATAAGACTTTAGTCGCAAACTTGGTTTCGAAGCATATTCAGAAGAAAATGAATGTTGCAAAAATACATACTTGCATAGTTGAAATGCCAACTAGTTATATTATTCAAAAAATGCCTGGATTGTCCTGATATTTCCATCCAGCCTGTCACCCAGTAGCATTCGTGGTTGTCAAGCGGAGTAGCAGCATATCTCCACGAGGCTCAAGACCCGGTTTCGAAGGCAGTTGAGGAGTACGAGGAGGGCTAGACGAAGTCAAGACTGCAGTGAACTCCGGGTGATAGAGAGATTGGGCTAAGTGGACTTTAATTGCATCTTAAGGCCTATTCATAGTGTGGTTGAAAAAATATTTAACTATCAGTCCTTAATTCCATTTATACAACATATAGTGACTAACTTATTCTATTCAGCCATTATAATTGAGGTGGTAAGCTTCTGCGTTATCCAACTCTAAGTGGTCTGGAGAGAGGAACGTCAGAAGAGGCTTTCACATTCAGCACGGCCTGGCTAAGGCATTGCACTTCACAGTGGATTGTAACTAAACGAGATAGTCATGTGTGTGTTTTGTTGACTGATCAGGAACGCAAAAACCAGCACATGAGGTGTCCTTGGTTGAGGAGGGTTTCGTCAGAACTTGAAGTAATGCATCACTGTCAAATGAGGCTGTCTATTCGATATGACTCACTCTCAGTATAAGGTGAATTTGCCAATATTTTAAGAATATCTAGTGTAGAGCAACTTCCGAAAAAGACTTAGCGGATAAGGCAAGATCTGAGTATCATTGGGATCATCAGGATAATCTCTCATCTCTCGCTAACTACTTTTCCCATTTATTTCCTTTCTTTTCTTCATAGCTCCTTTCTCATATGCCTTTATGCTTCTATCTTCATTTACCCTTGACTTGTAGATATTATTTTTTCCATTTTTCTCGTTTCTTTGTTTCATTTTTGTTCGTCGCTCTCAGTTGTTTATTTCTTCCACATTTTCCTCACCTCTTTCATTCTTTCCTTCTTCCCTTCTTCCTTGATTTGACTTTATTTGTTTTTCCTATTTCTTTTGGGCTTTTATTTCCTTCATTTTTCATTATTTTTCTTCGTATCTTTCCATTTTATCCATCTCGGTATTTTTTTCTTTCTGTCGTTTATCCTTCTAACTTCCTCCGCCCCTTATCATTTCTCTCCTTTTTACTCCGCCCTAGTTAACCTTTTTTCTAATTACAACGCTTTTATACTTTTCCTGTATATATTTGCCACGAAACGTCAAGAATTAGAAATTAGAAACATTCACATTTATGCAACCTCATTCAAATCACACTCTTTAATTGCAGAATAATCCGATACATCAAAACAGAAATAATGGAGGCTGGCCCGAAGACCTTAGGTGATCAAATGCTCTAACAAATAATAATATCAATCTAAATTTTAAGCACAAATCACTCTTTGATCTGGTTTAATGAATCGGCGAAATTATGCATTTTACTATCGTGATTATGAACCTAAGCCATCTTTGGAGATTAAGGTAGTCTAAGGACTTATGGTTGAGCCCCCCACAAGTAATTGATAATTTCGAAACTGTTATTTGGAATATTGCAATATCATCTATATTAGTGAAAATTCAAATATGCTCATTGAACATCACAATTAAAGCTGTTTTAGGATTAGCTTTGCTTGGCTTTCTTCGAAAGTGGCCTAGTTACAACCAATTATGTGTGGAAGAGTGAATATGTGACTCCGAAATATGAATATAGTCAAGATTTGAATCCCATTATGGGTGCCGAGGAGACTCAGGTGAGGTTGAAATTGCAGTCCACTCAAGATAAGAAAGCCTTTTAAAAGGTACTTAAATGGTCTCATTAGGACTACTTATTTTACTGCAGATATACGTCAAATTAAGCGATGCAAGGTTAGTCAAATTCATATTCATGATGTACCAATAATTCCGAAGTATACCCATTCCTAATACCATTATTAAGTCTATACGTGTTTATAGAATGTGGCCAAAACACATTATCTAAGGGAGGCTTTCACACTCATAAATATTCTTGGGCTTACTCAAATGAACTGATGCCAATAAGAATAATGATGCTGAAGTTTCACAATCTCGACAGCTTATTGTGTCAATAAATAACTTTTCGGATCCAGAAGGAACTTGTTACAGTTTATCCTAATAGAGCGTTAGTCACACTAGATCGCTGAAATTAAAGCCTACTTTGCCTTGTTTCCCAAAATGTATTCTCATCCAGGCTGGACCGAGGTTTCCACCACACCTTAGTCTCAGCAGCAACCCCAGTGGGAATAGAACCCTGGTAGTGCAATATATAACTTCGATATTTTACCAATACCCGCCACTGACTCGAGTGCTAGTCGGTCAAATAGCAAAAATGATTTCATGGCAGACAATGCCTCTCCCAAATCACACTCTATGGTGTGATTTTTGTTGACTCAAGCCTGTATTTGCGCTTACTTGTATTCGATTTAAGTAGCATTTCAAGACTACCAGCAGATCTCAAATAAGTCCAGCATCACTCTGGGTGACCTAGGATAACTAAATCTCATGTTACAAATGTACTGATAGCCTCAAAATCCTTTCCTACTTTGAATAAAATAGTATACAATATGACCTTAGAGGAAACGCCGATAAATTAATTGTATTAAAAGGCGAATGTATGCAGAAGGTCCGACAACAAAAGTAGTTCTAAAATAAAAACTGCACTTATTACGTTTCGAATCCGCTTGAGAGTTAAATGTCGTCGTAAGATTAACTCAACTATCATCCCTCCATCCCCTCATCCAACTAAAGCTTACTGAAGTTCTTATTCGAGACCCATTTATTATGAATAAAAGTAGGTATTTCTAACAGCTGAAATCTGTGCATTCCAGTGCTTTCAAAGCCTATAATGGCAAATTATGTTTCCAAAGTCCAAGTTCAACACGACGCGTTTGGGAGTCACAATATTTTTCCTCATGGTCCCATTAAGAACTCAGCACAAGCGCTCATCTCTAAAAGTGACTATTTGCATAAAATGCTACCGGGAGCTATTTCACAAAATCACGTAGAATACAAACAGAAGCATCCCTTACGAGTATCTCAGGGGAGAAGACCCCTGCTCTAGAGTCAGGACTTGGGTTGTCTGACTCTGGAGGCCTGAGTCCAAGTGTTGCACGATAATGAGCCTGGTTACAATATCGCGAAACCTTTTTTGTGGGGGCGGGTTGAGATGGCAATGTTGTTTCCATTGTGCTGGCATGGAGAGGGAAAGATGCGTGAGGCTGGGTTAATTGAGCGGTGGAGTGGAGTGAGACAATGAGTAGTTGGATGGTGAGGCGGCGGACTGGCAACCGTCCGGCACAGGAAGAACGGAGCTCGTAGAGACCCGCCCAGTTCCGGAAGGAAAATGCCGGTATATGACGATTGATAGAGTTGGGACTGACCAACCGGTGATGAGGTTGGAATTCTGGTTGAGTTGTGGGTGTATTCATGTGTGGCGCACGACCAGATAAGCTTGAGTGAACGCGAGGTGATGCCTGCCTACTTGTAGGCGCCAGGACTACATCGCACACACATCTTCCACCGACAAATAATCATTTCAATGCAGTTAGAAACTGATGTACATAAGTTCTTTCGCACTAATTACTCTGCAAAATAACCCTTTTCAATAACATATCTCCGAATCCCTAGACGCCATTTCCTTCTTACCCTTCCAGCCTCCTTCCTTCTACAGCACTCTTCTCTTTTCAAGTAGCCTAGATTCTCAGAAGAAAACTTCCAATTATGAGACAAGAAACGACGGGTATTCCTCTTGGAAGTTGTCACCTGCTTGGCGATTTTGAACTATAGTGCTCTGGCCTTTTGGGACAGAAATTTTGGCCTAGTGGGCTTCTTCTAATTAACAATGCAAGAATTGTGACTATACAGATCTCTTTCATTTGACCAGATTATACCAAGTCAGAAAAATTCAGATTACAATTTGTATGTAGGAATTGTTGATGCACCCTTAATTCCAAGAGTCATACATTCTCAAAGCCAAGGTTTCGGATCTTTAATCTTTAATCTAATTGACCTCTTAAATGATAAAATGTATAATAAATGTACTAATAGTATTGAAAACTACAGAGAAAATATAAATTTTTGCTTTTATATGCTACCTATGAAGATCTGAGTATGTGATCCGTCACAGGGGATAGTTTCCAGTCTCCCCATAGACCTTGCCGTAAAAGTAGGATTAGTAGAGACTTGCCTTGTCTTGAGTATTGCATCTGCCCTCCTCTAAAACTGGCAAGCGTGGCTATGAAGTAGGGAAGTAATTTACGTTGACACGATTATTATGCAAAAGCGCAGTTGTTATGATGAGGTCCACATGACGGGTAGGTATATTTAATAAAAATTATAATTCAGTTTCTATAAAAGCGGAGGGATGATGGGTTTCTCAAAAGGACGCAATTTTGCCATTTTAAAGGGAGGCATCTCCAGCCAGGACACTACCATCTCAAAAGTAAATCAGGGACAGTACTTAGCCCATGTGATTTTGCTTAATGCAAGTCTAAATCTGGTTAAGTCAAGTAACTGATGCATTGGGGAGAGTTAAGTTTTGTATGCATCTACATTTGTGTAAATCTGCTTGCTCTGAACCGAGTTTCATGTGCGATCTGACCGTTGTAAGTGTGCAAATATGTAAAAAGCATCACTCGACAAGGAAAATCGAGCCCCTTTGATCCTCCTACATTTAAAGTGTTCATCCCAACACACAATCACTTCTAGCTGTTACTCGTTAATCCACGAGTTAAAGGACGATATGCCTAAGGTTCTATCTCCTTCATGTCTCTCTCAATCTCGTCAGAGATTTTGTTGAATATCAGTACCGTATTTAGCAATAATTCAAGCACCTAAGATCTGGGCTGCTATTCCAAATTTCAGACAGATTCGCTTGCCTCCATCAAAAATAGGCAGGATGCCAAAGTGAGGACTTGGAAGGATTTCTAAAATATTTTCTCCTGGTCCAAGTAAGCCTCAAATTACCTATCAAACTGATGCTTATTTATCAAACAACTATTTATCAAAAAGTTTTTCTGTCGATTTTTTATCTTATTATCATTATTTTACTACATTATATATAGGATTTTCTCCTTTCAATCTCTTTATCAAACAGATATTACTCTAAATTAATCCCGGAGGCTAGGTTTGATGTAATAAGTTTAGTTAACAGTAGCCTAATACTACATTTATATAGTTAAATATTACCCTTTATTTTAGTATATATCTAAAAAACAACACAATTAACGACAGGCGTGAATTGAATTAGTTATCTAATTACGATATCTATGGTGCGTATGCACGTGAGGACATACGAAACCAAAGTGAAGAGCCCGAATAACCGGAGCAGAGCATAAAAACCTGTCATAGAGGTCATTAAGGCTTAATGACCCTATTTTAGATCCAAGAAGACTCATTATGATTATGACGAGCACTCATTCGGCTGGCACCACACTACAACTTGTCAAAAGAGGCGAGTGAAGTCGACCTTTTGACCAATTGTCTGCTATACAGTCTCTCCTCGTATCACCCTCTTCAATTCCCATTTTATTAATTGTTTATCTAAACCTAATTAATATGTGACCTTTTTACCGGATTTAATGAAACCCATGTACGCTTCCAGTTGGAGTAACATGACTTTCCATTTCGAAGGATAAGTTGGTTGAAGGAAATTTGCCGAATGGTTTCACCGGAAACCAAAAGAAGATTGTTGCGGAGTGAAAACTGTTGGCTTGTACAAAGATGTCCTGGGATCACCATCCTACGATCCCTATCAAACTGTATTAAGCCTTCGTCTGTACTACGACACGTTACGAAATAGAGCAAAAATATACTAAACCAAGGAAAAGGTTTGATTTAATATATTTTAGTGCTACTTCGAAATACATGGATTCTTGCTTTGATGATGTCTCTCACAATACAGACGAAAGCTTAGCACTATTTCATCGTGGTCGCAGGACAGTGAGCCGAAGACTTCTTTGCACAATTCTACAGTCTTCCCTACGCCGCAATCTTCCTTCGATTTCCAGGGAGACCATTTCACGAATGGAAAATCATGTCCCAATGTTCCACTGAGGAATTCTTCAAAACCCTTTTTTCTGTGTTTAGAGACATTGTCTTACAAACAAAGGCACGAAGCCAGGACTGCGGCGATTTAAGTAATAATTTTCGGAATAGATGCAAAGAAAATAGCATAATTTTGTCTAATTATTGGCAGACTACTTGATATGCTGAAATCAAGACAAAATTTTGCAGCAGAAGCTACATGAAACTAGATATTATAAATCTTAATCATCGGTTTTCAGAAAAAAGAAGGAGGGAAGTTAAAGTAATAGGCATAAAAGAGCCAGCTAAAATTAGAAACTATGAAGACATAAAGGACATGGCCAGTAGTTCGGTCGCAGTCTTCTTTCGCCACACCTAATGTGCCCAACCTATTTTTTGCAATTTGGCCGTATTGACAGAGCCACTTGACAGCAAGTACACAGTCCTCTGTCATTATTGTCATGTATTCTTCCAGCATAAGATTGCTGAATTGGTACACTTCCAGAATTTTCTCTGGTTCTTTAGTCAGCATTGCTACTAAATTTCGTCACTCCTAGCACCGACCTACAATTTGTTAACAAGACGAATGAAGTCCATTCCATAAAGAATATTAGGCTGGACGCTGCCATAATTTCGACCTGGATAATTCTTACCTATTCCAGCTCAAAAGACGCACTTCTGGATGAAGAACTGGTAGTCGAATTTTCCCACAATGATATGAGTATAACTGACATTTCCATTGAACTTCACATAGTCTTGCCTTCCCAAAAGTTGTTCTCATCCAGGGCGGACTGTAGTTTCCACCTCGCATAGGTCTTATCAACAGCCCCAGCGGGAGTCGAACTAAGACAGCGCAGAATATGAGCTTGACACACTAACCATTCGTCCACATTGCCGCGA